ATAAAAACCTTAAATTTATATATGATATCTTGTTCATTTAAAAAGAAAAGTGATGTAAATCATATATAATGATTTGGAAGGTTAAGGAATATCGAGAAATTAAACAATTAATAAAACTTAAAAGGGTTAATGACATCCTTCGAAGAAAAAAAAAAAAAAAAAAAAAACAAAGGATTAATGCAATTTTAAAAAACAAAAAATTTAGAATATGACATGTGAAGCATAAATTTATCGGTCATGGTTATCAACAATGTAAAATAAAATTTTTGAAACAATGTAAAATGATGAATTTTAGTTTGTTAAAATTGAGATGTGAAACTAATAAACTTAAAATAAAAAGTCTTGATGGTTTTAATATAAAAGGAAATGGCTTAATTTTCCTATAGAAATGATTGTAAGGGGAAGGTAAAGATCATTAAGGGAATGAAATGACATGAAGCCATGAAGGTAAGAATCAAATTAATTATTTTTTTCAAAGCCAAAAAAAAAAAATAAAGGAATATTTATATGATGACACGTGGCAGTTTGTATGACTTGCTAATTTTCTTGTTATTAAATATTAGTATAGATTTGATTTGGGTTTGGTTAATAATGTTGATATTTTAAGCTTAAAGTTAAAATTTGGTGGTAGTTGGATTAGTTGGATGATTATTTTATGAATTAAATAATTTGTATGTATGATGTAGTGATGGCAAAGGCTACCCATACAACTATTGTATGTAAGTCCTACATACAATTTGACATGACACTCTCACGTTGGGCAAAAAAATTAGGCCCCAATTCTCACTCTTATTCACATTTCATTTGAATTTCAAATGAATTTTCAAACACTAAAATTTGAATTTCAAATAGAGTTGTCATTTTCAATGTAAATTTAACGTATCATAATATTTTTTCTAATTTGTAAATTATTTGTCTTTTCTTTCATCTTGTCTTCCATTAATTGTTTGTTGTCTCCATTAAAATTTAATTTGAGTGTGGATTTTTTTTCCGCAGAGTGTTCAAAGATAAAATCTTAATAATTAAATAATCGGATTCATAGGACATAAATAAGACAATAATGGTTGACATTATTATTTATCTTAATAATTACTCCCTCCGTCCCATAATATTTGACTTAGTTCTCATTTTTGTGTCCGTCCCACAATACTTGACACATTATTAAATATGGAATGGGACCATTAATAAAAAAAAAAAAAGTTTTCTCACATATTCACTCTCCTCACTTACCCCAATCCCACCCCACTTGTTTTATTGTACTATAAAAATAGAAAAGAGAATCTTTAATACAATAAACAAATGTTTTAAATAGACCCACTAGTAGTTTTCTTGAACTACGTGTCCACCCCAACGTCTCAAGTATTATGGGATGGAGGGAGTAATGTTAAATTTCGTGACAATATGAAATTGGTTTGGGCAACCCGAACAAGGAGGAGGAGAGCTTGGTCCACAAACAAGACTTAGGAGATTTCATACTAAAACCAATTAACAATAGTAGGAGTAACTCATTTACCTTATAAAGTGGAACCATCTTTTTTCTTTCTCCAATGTGGGACACGCACAAATGGGCTACAATGGGTTGGACACTACCCCTCACTTGTGAGTGTCCTTAGAAATTCGGAGCTAACTGGAAAGGCCATATCAATAATCATCTTAAGGGCTTGACATCCTGTCGAGGTAAATCCTTATCTAGTAGAGATTATTTTTACCCAGTTTAGAAGAGACCCGCAACCCGGGCTCTGATGCCATGTTAAATTTCGTGACAATATGAAATGGGCCTATCAAAAGGAGGAGGAGAGTTTGGTCCACAAACAAGGCTTAGGAGCTTCCATAATCCGTCGGAATAGACCTTTTCGACGGAATATCGCGAAATTCCTACAACGTGTAATGCGATGGTGCTTTCCGACGGAAAATTCCGTCGGAAATGGGCATTTTCGACGGATTTTTTCCGTCGTTGATTGACTGTTTTCTAGTAGTTATATAAAAACCAATTAGAAATAGTAGGAGTAACTCCTCTACCTTATAAAATAGGATCATCTCTTCTCTTTCTCCAATGTGGGACACTCACAAAAGGGCTACAATAGGTTTCAACAATCAAATATAGAAGAAACACTAGAATGTCAAAAATGGCTAAAATAATAGAACATCGAAAGTGGAAGAAAACCTCGAGCGCTCTAATTTCTTAATTGGTAACAAAAACAAATTTTTTAGTAAGTAAAAGATCAATAAACGACGTTGCATTGAACAATAAATAATTATTTTCACAATATGTTAACATGGTGAATATTTTGTAATCTTGGTTACTTGAGTATTGATAAATTACTAATTTGCCAATTTGGTACCGTGTTCAAACTCATTCCCTTCATGCCATATATATTTTTTTTCATTCTCCTTAATATGAAATCTATAATCGTCCACAAAAAATAGTAACCAAAGATGAAAATATAGTAACCGAAATTATATCTCTTTTGTAAAAATTACATTTTTTGGAAACATTTTATGAATCAAGAAAGAAGTCGAAAACATATAGTGATTTGATTGTGTGTAACCCATAGTGATTTTATTATGTATTATTGTTTGAATTAAACCCTCAAATGTATATATTAAACCTTATAACACTTGATTATAACTTAGTAAAGTAATTTTGATTGTTAGTACTTATAGCGATCTTGATTTTGTATTATTGCTTGAAATAATTTGTGGCGAGAGAAATATTGAAGCAATTGTGTTCTAAATGTATACATTGAAAGTCCATCGCTTGTACTATGTAATGTAATCATACAATGACTGACAATTATTACAAAAGTACTCAAAATTATGTTAAAGTAAATTCAATCAAGTAATTAGCAATATAGAGTGTCACAAGAACTTTGTAAATTATTTTGCTTTTTTGGTATGTTTAAAATTTTTTCTTAATATGAAATTTCAAAATATCAAAATATACACATAAATTGGTAATAGAAATTACAAAAACAATCTTATGAAATAATCCATCCTATATTACAACCAAATACATATTCATGAAATTGTACTTTTCTAGTAACAAGATACATATAGGGGGTTAAAGAATAACTAACACTGATGTTAAATACTCTATCTTGTCCTAGAGTATTAAGGGGCTGCCCCTCAAATTACCAGTTTTAGAGATTGATAACCTTGCTAACGTAACAACACAAACAATAAGGAAGGTTTCCCAAACAGTAAGGAAGCATTTCAAACAAACAATAACACTTGATAATTTTATGATTGTATCTAACACCTATTTATTTTTATACGATTACTTTATATGTAATAAAATTATAATCTGTACATTTTTGGTATGTTTGAAATTTTTGTAGTAACCATAACGACTTCATAATAAAAACTAAAGTATGGTAAAAATTGTCCAATTCCAAAAAAATTTCAAAAATATATCGATATGGATGTCTATAGAAAGATCTTTAAAAAATAATTTCATTGGTTTTTTATAATAATTTTTTGATTTGTAGTTTGTAAAATATCGTCTAATGAAGTATTATTTGATTCTTATAGTAAACATCTCTCTTCATTAATGATGCTGACTAGGACGCTAGTATCTCTAGTAACAAATTTGTATTTTTTTGTAACGTAAAACATTTTGTTAGTCACAAGATTGTTATTAGGCGCCAATGAAATTCTTCCCGCCTATTTAGCTAAATGGCGCTTAAAACCAATTTTTTTTTCCCACTCATTTTTCCCTCTCATTTTTTTAACTAATGATGAGTTGTCAATTTTCTATTGGTATTGTATGTGGACCACACATACAACAGTTGTATGTGTATCACCTCCCATGTATTGATGTGTATGTCAAGTAGCTTTAGAATGGTACGTATACCCAAGACATGAGATCAAATCATTGTTAATTCGCCTACATGGCTATCTATAAAGGAAAATAAATTTGAATTTAATGCTACATAGAGCGGAAGAAAAAGTGAACTAAGACATAAGCAAAGTGCTTGAATAGAATCATGGTATTATATTGTTGCAACTAAGATTCAGCTTTTCCTTATTTTTTTAGTTGTTTGAATGATTATGCTAATAAGAACTAAAATACTGTATTTTTGTAACTTTAGTTGGTAATGATTCTAAAATTTTAAGAATGGGAGTGGACAAACCAGGTCAACCATTTTCTAATTGAAGTGATAATTTTTACAGTAATGCTTTGTCTATGACTTAGGAAGAGAATTAGTAGAGAATTGGAGGGCATATGCATTTCTATACTAGATACTCGTACAAGTGATGGTGTGTTAGCTGTGAGACTTCGTTTAGTCAAAAACAAATCACTCGTTTTTAGCAGCATATAAGTAGCAGGCTGAAATGTTGAATGAAGCTAGTTTATTGTTTATACTCGTACAAGTGATTGTGTGTTAGCTGTGAGATTTCGTAATAAAAATGAATCACTCGTTTTTAGCAGCATATACATAGCAGGCTGAAATACTGAATAAAGCTAGTTTATTACATATATGGTTAGGCTTTGTTGTAATTGTAAATTTGTTAAATCGGCCACAAGGGTAGTGATATGGTTGCAGCAATTAGTCTGAGGATTCCTATGATACTAAGATTGAAGCTGGATTTTTTGAATTCATTCAATAATTCTGGTTGGTATAGACATCATCCTTACTGCTCCTCAGACAATAAAAGAAACAGCGAAAGCTGATTGATGATAAATTTTCATCCCTTGGTGTCTTGGGTCGTGTTCTATAAAAATTATACCAATTAATAAAATCACTCTCGTCTTGATGATGGTCAGTATACATCTTCACATGTCCTTGTCTAATCAGTCTGGCACTTTCTACTTTTATCCTGTTTTGGTTTTGTTTGTCATTCAACATTCTGGAGGATGCTAATGGCTGTAATCCAATGATTGCTTGATGCAAAAGAGACTTGGCCTTCTTCTTTTCTGATGTGTTAACACTATTAAAATCTTTATCATAATCTGGACACCGAACCAATTATGCCATTTCCTTTGGTTGAATTTATAGGTTCAATGCAACTGACTTTTTGGTCAGAATTAAGGATAAAAGATTGCTGCTTGTTGGAGATTCTATGAACCGGAACCAGTTTGAATCACTGTTATGTCTGCTTTGTGAGGGACTTCCTGATAAGAGCAAAATGTATGAAGTCCATGGCTATAAAATCACTAAAGGAAGAGGTTTCTACATCTTCAAGTTTATGGTAATTGCAACTTTCTGATATCTCTTTTATACATTCGGGATTTGGATTTGCATGTCAATCATTTTGATTGTTTGGCTTGTAGTGCTATTCTTGTCCATTGGCAATGTAGTTGGACGTTACTACACCTTGGCTTTTAGATTCTTAGAACTAAATTGAAGTGGCTGCAAATTATCTGCTGTTCATATTTATTGTAAAATAGCAGTCGCTCATTGCATATAAGATCAAGGGTCAATTGGAAATAGCTTTTGTGTTTTCACAGGGTTGAGGTTGCATACATTTGACATCCCTTCCAGGCTTTCTCCCACTCCATTTCCCCTCATGGTACAGACAGCAAGACATCTTCATATGCATTGGGGTAATTTGATGTTGTTGGTGCTTGCAATGCTCTATTGCTCTTCTCCCCTTTGATGGTTATCTAACAATTTCTCCATTAGGTTTAAGTTGATTATGTTTGTAGTTTGATGTAAATGGCTAGTTGTAGAGAGATTTAACTCTACGTTCAGTCTAAAACCTATCTGCATCATAAATATCTTAAAATATTGCTGCATGTGATGCATATGCATATCTTCAAAAATTGAGTTCTTCCTGATTCTTTCTAATGTAATTTCTTTATACAGGACTTTAATTGTACTATAGAATATGTGAGGTCTCATTTCCTTGTTAGAGAAGGAACCCGCATCAATGGACAAGGAAACTCAAATCCGACATTATCGATCGATAAAATTGATAAGACAGCTAAACGCTGGAAGCAGGCTGACATTCTTGTTTTCAATACTGGCCACTGGTGGACTCATGGGAAAACTTCGAGAGGGTAGGTATGCAACCATCTTTCTTCAAGATATTTAGTGTGAAATATGGTTATATAGTAATATAGATGGAGTAGGAGAAACTATTTTGTTACATATGACAATCAGTGGAATTGGGAAGCAACTGTATTGTTCTGGAAAACTTTGCACATTGTTTTTAACTAGTTTATTCCTTATGTGTTATTGGTTTCTTGGGACTATCTTCCACCTGATCGTTAATCTCCTGTAAAAGTCTGCTTTTTAATTGATGGATTAGTGGATTCACCATGGCTAAACAATCATTTGTTTTTAGTTCCCTTTCTATCGTCCCTAATCTAGAGCTCTTTTGATGCAGGAAAAATTACTACAAAAAAGGTGACTATGTCTATCCCAAATTTGATGCAGTTGAGGCTTATCGGAAGGCCCTGAAGACATGGGGAGAATGGATAGATAAGAATTTGGACCCTGAAAGGCAATTGGTATTTTATCGTGCATACTCTTCTGCGCATTTCAGGTATTTATCACCTTCTGAAATAAATTCCTCCATATATATATAGTCAGAGAATCCCATTGGCCATTGACGATATATGTTGAGAAGATGTTGGGTTTTTTTCTGATTCTAGTGCTGGAGGGTCTTGCTTGTCATTAAAACATGTTGAACAATTTCAAAGACCTGAGTTATCTAAGTTCGTAATTGTTATGGTACTGAAACAGGGGAGGAGATTGGGACTCAGGAGGCTCATGCAATGGTGAAACAGAGCCCATCTTAAGTGGCACTTTCCTAGATAACTACCCAATAAAAATGAAAATTGTCGAAGAAGTTATCCAACACATGAAGGTTCCTGTGATATTATTAAATGTTACAAGGTTGACGAATTTTCGTAAAGATGGCCACCCATCAGTCTATGGTAAGATGAGAATAAAGGGGATGAAAGTGTCTACTAGAAAACAAGATTGCAGCCACTGGTGTCTACCTGGTGTTCCTGATGCTTGGAATGAGTTGATTTATGCAACTTTAGTTTATCAACAGTCAGCTGCTATGAACCAAGTACACTAGACACACATAATTTTCCTATTTAATTCAATTTTGAGAAGTATAAGACACGTTGATTGTCGATAAAGCATGAGTAAATGTGTCTTTATTCAGTTATAGCTAAAGGAAACCCAAGTTAGTTATAGGCTTTAGCATTGGCAAAGGCACACCGGCAACTCAGCAAGCTAAGTCTGAAGTAAATTGAAATTGTACTGTGTGCGATAATGAGTTCGGTACCTTGGTTGACCATAGGAGAGTTTAAGGGACTGTATTCTTCATGTATACTTCACAAGGTAGAAAAAGTCACTAGTAAAAGTATGACTTAAAGCTTGACATATATACACACTTTAATGTAAATTATGACGACATTGGGTTTGACTTCGAACCTCTGTATTATTTATATATTTGTTTCTTAAATCTAAGAATTAAAAACTTTAGGAAACCTTCCTTTTGGGAAATGTTCCAAATGCATCTGAGTATTATATATATACTAGTTTAGGTTCCGTGACATGCACGGTAATTTTCAATAATTATTTTTTTAATTTACATTATATTTAATAATAAAAATTAAATCTGACTAAGTTAATAATTTGTAAAATGAGTTTATTATGAAAGTTTATTATTAGCAAAATATATATATATATATGTCATAAATTAGGTTAAGGAGTTTATGGTATTAATATATATTTGGAAGGATATATTAAATCTTTTCTAATCTTTTTTTTTTGAATGAAAATCTTTTGCAATATTTTATTTATGTATAATATTTGTTTCCTATATAGATATTAAAAAAAATAAAAATTAAAGGACACACCAGAAAATGACATGTGTCATTGCTGGTGTGTCTTTTAGTGTATATATATATATATATATATATATATATATATATATATATATATATATATATATATATATATATATATATATATATATATATATATACTTGGGATCTGGTGAGAAGTAGATACATAAAAAAATGTGTTGTAGATACATTATTTATATATAATAGATACATTAAAAATACATTATAAATATATCAAAAATACTTCATAGATACTTTGAAAATACAGTATTAATACATTAAAGATACTTAAAAATGTATTATAGATACATTCAAAATTTATTTTATTACCTCCGTTTCATAGTTTTTGTAACTTTAAAATATTTTTATGTCACAAATAATACAGCAAAGTTGCAAAAAATATGAAACGGAGGTAGTAAATACATTGAAAAATCAATGTAAGTTAAATCTAATCATATTTATCTTCTAGTGGTGATGATTACAGGTCATACGAAACAACAATATTCTGAAAGCCTTTGCTCCAATCAATATGCCCAACTTCTCCACTTCACCACTTCAAGATTTCCCTATTCTGGTAAACTAAGTACCCAGTGTCTCAAAATCATAATTAATCAAGCTAACAAAACAGTGCAGTATCTAATGTATCAAGCTATGAATCCTGATCTTTTCATCCTTATTGCAATTGTAAATCATAAATTCATAAGCATCACAATAAATCATACTTACGTTTAAGGGTTGAGATTGCTTCTCACCCTTCTCACCTTAAAGAAGCTTCTTACGTGAACTTAAGTATACGGGGGATTTGGTAAGAACACTAGTTTATAAGTATAAGAATCAATGTAATCCGCAAGATTAGATTGAAATAAACGGTCAATATTAGAACATGAATATTAATGGCATTCCTGTAAATATCAAAACCTTCCACGTTCATATATAATCACAAATCTTTAATTTTTCTCTCTCCTCAAGCACACCAAAACTTCTCACCACTTTCTCTCTCTAAAACCACCATATTCACTCTCCTCAAAACACTAAACTGCTTTAAATCGAACCTACAAATTCAGCACTTTTCTTTAATTTTCGCATAGATTCAAGAATTTTTTCATAAACATGCATTAAACAAGTTCAATTGAACAATTTAACTGCAAAATTTGGCCAAAAAAAAAAAAATCTAGATTTTGAACAACAATTGATTCAAAGTGAAATCTGATTGGAAATTGATGCAACTGCTAACACGAATCAAGCCTAACCTTGTGCACAGGATGGAGACTTGGTCGATTATACCTTAAAACTAGCCAAAACAGAGATAGCAGGGCAGTTTTGGGAGTATAAGATATTAAGGAAAAGACAGACTTTTGAGAGAAAGAGAGTATAAGATTGGAAGGTTTTCATTCATCATTCATGCCTAGTTGAACATTACAGAATGGCTTATATAGCCTTGATTACACCAGCACTACTGATTCATACATAAGACAAATTAAACGGACTAATTAAGAAAAAGCCAAATAAACGGCTACTCTAAAATAGTTATCCTGTACTAATATTCCCTGGAACATCCTCTTGGTTATTCTTCCCTGCACCTTCCTCTGCACCTTCCTTTGACCCTTCTTGTACCAGCTCATCATTCTCCCTTTTTCCAGAATTCTCTGCTAACCCTTCTGCTAACTCACCATTCTTTGCCACCTCAGCCTGCTTACTACTCAATGCAACAATGTGTGCATCAATACTCCCCCCATTAGGAGATATTTGACCCCAAGGATCAAAATATGGAAACTTTTCCAAGTTGCTTCTTCCACTGGCAGCTGATCCCAGTGAATGAGCCACTGAACTACAGCATGATTTCTCTGCTTCACACTTCTTTTATCAAGTACAGCTAGAGGTTTCTAGGGGAGAGAGTGAGGATCAGGAATGATTGGTAATGGTGGGACAGGGTCTTGAATTGGTGGGGTGCCATGGTGCTTCTTAAGATGTGAAACATGGAAGGTTGGGTGAATTTTTGCATTGGGTGGAAGTTGTAAAGTATAAGCCACCTTCCCCACTTTCTTGATGATCAGATAAGGACCATAGGACTTCTAAGACAGCTTCTCATTGTTTCTGCGTGATACATTAGATTGCCTGTAAGGTTGTAATTTGAGATAAACCCAATCACCTTCTTCAAAATTGCTTTCTGTCTTGTGCTTGTCTGCCATTTGTTTCTCATGTTACGAACTTTGAGCAGATTTTCTTTCAGCATTTTCATAGTTGCCTCTCTTTGTTGCAAGCTCCTGTCAACTGCATCAACTGCATATACCTGGTAAGTATGGTCTATGCAATGGTGGTGATTGGTTATACAGCAGTTCATAGGGTGTTTTCTTGCTAGCAGTATGAAAATTGGTGTTGTACCAGAATTCTGCTAGTGACAGCCAATTTACCCACTCTTAGGGTCTTTCAAAGCACATGCACCTCAAGTATGACTCTACACACCTGTTCAAAACCTCTGACTGTCCATTAGTTTGAGGGTGATAGGATGTAGAGAGTTTATGGTTGATCCCTTGCAACTTAACAAATTCTGACCAAAATTGGCTGATAAACACCTTGTCTTTGTCTGATATGATTGACTTAGGAAACCTATGTAGCTTATAGACATTATCTAGGTAGGCTTGAGCTACCTTAAGAGCAGTGTATGGGTGTGGCAGAGGGATAAAATGAGCATATTTGTTCAATTTATCAACCACCGCCATAATGACTTCCTTCCCACCAAAGTGAGGCAACCCCTCGATAAAGTCCATAGTAACCTCTTCCCACATAGATTCAGGCACGGAAATAGGTTGCAGAAGTCCTGGGTAAGGAGCGGGATCGTATTTTCATTTTTGACAAACTGAACATTGCTTGATGTAATCTTTGTTTTCCTTCTTCATTCTCTTCCAGTAAAAGAGTGCCTTGATTCTCTGGTAAGTGGCTTCAACCCCAGAATGGCCCCCTTGAGAAGAATCATGTAGCCAGATTAGCACCCTTTTCTTCAAACTGAGATCATTTCCAAGCACCACCTTCCCCTTTCTTTTTAAGCATATGACATCCCATACATAGAGAGGGTGAGAATTAGGATCTTGTTGTAATTCATTGATCAATTGTTGAGTGTCATTATCATTCTTCCATGCTTCTTTTCACTGCTCAAATAGCTCTGATTGTATGCTTGAGGTTGCCATAGTATTCAAGGATAGTTCTGGTGATCTGGACAAGGCATTAGCTACCTTGTTTTCAATACCTGACTTATATTCTACCACATAGTCCAGACTAGCTAGCTTAGTTAGCATTTTTGCTAAAATGGAGTGGCCAGCTTATGATTTAGTAAATATTTCAAACATTGTTGATCAATTTTGATCACAAAAGGTTGAGATATTAGGTAATGATGCCATTTCTTGACTGCCAGTACTACAACCAATACTTCTCTTTCATATGCAGACAACAACATAATTTTCTCACTCAAAGCTTGCTCAAAAAACTTATTGGATGCTTATCCTGCATCAGAACAACTCTGATACCCTTACCCGAGGCATCAGTTTCTATGGTAAAAGGTTTGCTGAAATCAAGCATAGCCAAAACTGGAGGAGAAGTTATGGCTATCTTGAGTTGAGAGAAAGCTTGATCTGCTTCATCATTCCACCCAAATCTGTCTTTTTGTAGTAAATTGGTAAGTGGTTTTTTTTTTATTTTCCTATAATCCCTGATAAACCTTCTGTAATACCCGGTTAAACCCAGAAACCCTCCAAGTTGCTTGAGAGACTGAGGTCTAGGCCAGTGTAGCATAGCCTGTAGCTTGTCAGGATCAGTAGCAACCCCCTGTTGGGATATAATGTGACCCATGTAATGAATTTTTGTCAGCCCAAAAGAACACTTTTTGAGATTAGCATGAAGCTGATTTTTTTGCATTATCTTAAGTGTGCATCTTAGATCATTTAAATGCTCTTCCCAGCTAGCATTGTAAACTAAGATGTCATAAAAAAAAAAAGATCAACACACATCTTCTACGAAGGGGTTTAAAAAGGTGGTTCATCAAAGACTGAAATGTTGAGGGATCGTTTGTTAACCCAAATGGCATTACTAAGTATTCAAAATGACCAAGATGAGTCTTGAAAGCAGCCTTATGCAAATCTTGAGAATGCATCCTAATTTGGTGTTAACTAGATTTGAGATCAATCTTAGAAAAATACTGAGTACCTTGCAGTTCATCTAACAACTCTTCAATGAGTGATATAGGGAATCTATCTTTAATGGCAGCCTTATTAAGCCCCCTATAATCCACACACATCCTCCATTCTCCATCCTTTTTCTTCACTAATACAATAGGTGAAGCAAAAAGGCTATTGCTTTCCAAAACTAGCTGTAACAGCCTTCACATATTCATCCCAACTAGGCAAGATGTGATTTTGTCTCTACATATAGGTCTGATGCCATAGTAAGGCTTTCTCTTCTAGGAGAATAGCAGCTAACTTCACCTTATCAAGGTCTTTCACATTATCAAGATAAAAAACTGATTACATTTAAAGATCCAAGATTTAAGATCTGTACCATTAAACTTAGGGAATTTTACCTTTGTCAATTTAGCTGAATAGTGGGTGTGTTTAGGGGGTGGTTCAGACTCCTTATCATTGCTAACAAGTTCAAGTTGAAATTTATTAACATTATCTGCTACCAGCTTAGTGATTTGCATTGACAAACCAAGCAACAAATCATTAAGCTCAGAAATAGACTTACATTTCTTGTCTATATTCAGACTGTTGTGTCTATTAGCAACCTCCAACTTCTTGGCTTGCTCCTGCAACAACGTTCTTGTGGTTTGCTCCAGTTTTGGGCATCTGTGATTCCTAGCTCAGCAGAATTAGATGAAGATCTGGTGATAGGCATATTGATGGTCCGAGAAAGGAACAGCTCTGATACCAGTGATGCAACTGCTAACACGAATTAAGCCTGACCTTGTGCACAGGATGGAGACTTGGTCGATTATACCTAAAAATTAGCAAAAACAGATATAGCAGGGCAGTTGTGGGGGTAAAAAAGATTAAGGATAAGGCAGACTTTTGAGAGAAAGAGAGTATAAGATTAGAAGGTTTTTAATTCATCATTCATGCCTAGCTGAACATTTAAAAATGGCTTATATAGCCTTGATTACACAAGTCCTGCTGATTCATACATAAGACATATTAAAAGGACTGATGTATGAGTTTTACACCATGATTTATCTCGGTTTTACAACGTATATTTGCATGGTTTTAGGCTCTTTGGAGCCATTTCTCGCTAACAATCTCTTCTCTAGTGTGTTCGATGTATTTTTGTGAGTTTCATAGGAATGTGGAGTTTCTTGGATGATTCGAACACGTGTTGGATGTTTTTAAAAGAAGTTAGTGCATGAAGAAGAAGGTTTCCCCCATACCCTGTTGACCCTAGCTTGCCCATTCAAACAGGGAAAAGAAGAATGAGTAGAACACGAAGTATTTGCATAAAACCCCATGTGCTCGATCGGGCATGGTCCGCCCGGTGGGACCGGGCACAGAGGAGTAGAAGTCTAGTGTTGAAATAGGAAGGCAACAATCAATTTGGAGAAGCATAGTTGCGCGCCCGATTGGGCAGGGTCCGCCCGGTGGGACCGGGCACGTGGTGGAAGAAGTGCTACGAAGAGGAAGAAGTGCCGTATCCAAGCCACCCGATCGGGCATAGCTCGCCCGGTTGGACCGGGCACGGTTTCGCGGAATCCATTTTACTTAATTTTGAATTTCTATCTTTTTGAGGGTATAAATACCCTTTGTAATCACAATTAGAAAACACTTTTTATGTCCATTAGCATTATTTCTCTCTAAGAACCCTAGTTTACTCTCTTTCATGCAATTTAATTCTTCCATTAGATTTGATTATTGTTCATCAACAAATTGAGTTATTATAATTGAAGCATCATTGGTATTCATATCTTTCTCTTCTCTTTCAATTATTATTGCTTTTTGATTATGTTTTCTCCATTGAATTTCATTATTGATTGTGTTAGCATGTGTGAGTAGATTCATAATCCGGGATCTTGCAAAGCCCAGATATGATTAATGCTTGGATTTAATCTTTAAATTCTCCAATAATATTCCCAATTGACATGCTTAATTGATTGTGTTTATGCCAATGCTAGATTAGGAATAATTAGTATTGTTATCATCCCTTTGTTCTTATTGCAACAGAAGTTGAATATTAACGGGATTTGGGTAATTCAATTAAGGGTTTGAAGGTCATCACGGAAGTAGATGATTGAATGATTAGGAAGTTAAGTATTGTGTTTAATGTCCCTTATTTGCTTGATTCCATGGAAATAGGGTTGATAGTTTATTTGGGAAGCCATTGATAACTCAGAAGAGACCTTTGGTATTTTATAGGGAATACTTTTCCTCTTGTCGATTGAATTGTTATTAGGGGTAGAATTATTTATGCATTGATTATATTCGTGGTAATGCTTGATCTTGGATGCTTTAGTTTATTGATTTATCACATTTCTTAGATTTATTGAGTTCTTTATATATTAGTTCTTAGAATTATTCACCATTGATTGTTACTTGCTTAGTGATAATTTGAGTCTATTTAATTAGGTGAACCTTAGTCTCTTGGGATTCGATCCTTACTTGCCCGTCTACATAGTAGTGGTCTCGTTAGGTTATTTTTGTTAGGTACGCGACACGCCTACCAAATTTTGGCACTGTTGCAGGGGACTAACGGTTTCTTTCTGATTATTTGTGATTCGTTTTTACTAAGCTTTCGATTTTCTGCTTCGGCTATTGCCCCTTGTATTTTTGATCCTCTCTTTTTAGTTCTTTTTTGCATGCAAACTCGATGTTCATGTTTAGATAGCTTAACACCTTTTGACTCTGAAATCGAAGCTACAACAAGGAGACGAAGAGGTAGAAGAAGGAGATATCAAAATACAAGTAAAATGACCGAAAGAATCAAATCTTTACTGGAGTATGGCATTCCTGATACTGCAACCGAGCTCCTATCCAGCATTGTCAGACCACATATTACCACTCAGAGCTTTGAATTAAAACCTCAATTTATACAGTTCATCTCCAATGACTCATTTGCAAGCACACCTCATGAATGCCCTATTAGTCACATAAACGGTTTCTTGGAGAAGTGTGACACCATAAAGCTCAACGGTGTTACTGATAATGCTATCAAACTTCGTTTGTTCCCTTTCTCACTACGGGATAGAGCAAAGGAATGGTTACGAGACGAAGGTATAGTTCCTTTGATACATGGGATAAGCTTGCCAAAGCTTTCTTAGTAAGATTTTTAGGGCAAGAGAAGACTACAAGGTTAAGGAACGATCTACTACCTTTCATCAATCTGATGATGAGTCTTTATATGAGGCATGGAGAAGATTCAAGCGCTTACAGAGACAATGCCCTCATCACGGTATCCCAGAGTGGATGTTGATCCAAACATTCTACAATGGTCTGACCCATGAGTTCCGCATATACATTGATGCTGCATCCAGGGGTTCTCTCATGACTAAGAACCCAACTGAAGCCAAAGAGCTAATTGAGAAGATGGCAGCCAATGATAATTATCATCCAGGAGGTCGACATAGTGTGAAGAAGGGAGGTAATTAGATGATGATGCTCTAACTCTTTTGACTAGCTCTGTGCAGGCATTGACAAGCAAGTTTGACAGACTCCAAGCCGGAACATTTACTAGCTCATCGGAGACCTGTCAGATGTGTAATGTGCAAGGTCACATTGCATCTAATTGCCCCAAAAATTCCAGTGAAATGTCAATTGAGGAGGCCAATGCATTCTACACCTCTAATCCTAAAAGGTCGTATGATCCTCATTCAAACACATACAATGAAGGGTGGAGAAATCATCCGGACTTCTCTTATATGAACACTCAAGCTCAATTGAATTCTCCACCACCACCACCTAGTTTTCAAGCAAGGGCATCTTTTAATCACCAACCCATGAATCAACAACTACCACCGCAAACTTCAAAATACAATCTTGATTCCATTATGGAGACTTTCACTACTTCCCAACTTCGACAGCAAGAGCTTATGACAAAGCAATTTGAGCTACAAGCAAAGCAAAATGAACAATTTGAAAGCTCGATTCAAATGCTTATTGCTCAAAATAAGAGGATAGAAACTCACCTTTCTCAACTTTCACAACAAGTGAGTCATTTATCAACTCTTCATAATCAAGCAAAAGTCCAAAAGGAACAATGCAATGCAGTTTTCTTGAGAAGAGATGAACTATTTTCGAGGAAAATAGATGAGAAAGTGTGCAATGTGGAGTCAAGGAAAGATGAAAAGTGTGAGGATGTAAATAGTCCCAAATATGTTGCTCCACCGGCCTATGAGGAACTGATGCCCTTCCCACAAAGGTTGTCAAAAGCTGTGCTCGATAAACATTTTGGGAAATATTGCGAGACTCTTAAAAAGGTACATGCTTCCATTCCTTTTTTTGATCTTTTAATTCAAATGCCTCAATTTGCAAAATTTGTGAAGGAAATTAAAGATCAACATGATGATAAGGAAGTAGTAAATGAGAAATGCTCTACTCTTTTAAGTGATTGCCTACCACCTAAGCTGCATGATCCTGGTAGTTTTACCATTCCCTGTATGATAAACGAAATATTTTTTGATAGGGTCTTGTGTGATTTAGGTGCTAGCGTAAATTTAATGTCTTATTCATTATATGAAAAATTAGGTTTGCAAAAACTTAAACCTTCCCCTATTTTTCTTCAAATGGCTGATAGGACTGCTAGACTCCCTAAAGGTGTGGTTGAGGATGTATTAGTTAAGGTTGGTGAACTTGTTTTTCCTGTTGATTTTGTTGTTATGGATATGAAAGAAGACCATAAGATCCCGATTATATTTGGTCGCCCATTCCTTGCCACAAGTTAAGCTCTAATAGATGTTCCTAAAAGACAAGTGACCATTAGGGCCCAGGACAAACAAGTAGTGTTTAAGCTCTTTAATGAACATAATTTTATATTTGATGGTGGTACTTGTTTAAAAATTGATGCTACTAACCCTTTGGTTGATAAGTGTGTATGTGATAGAAATCTTGTGAGAAACGAGGACAATATTCCACCAAATGATGTGTTTAGCTACATGAAAGTAAGTTCGGATACAAAGCATGTCAAATATAAAATGAAGGAGTCATTTGGAGGCGGATATTTTTATGGGCAACATCGCTGAGTTTCTTCTTTGTGTGGTGACCTAGGCTGAGCTAATAAAGAAGGTCAAGCTTAAGACCTTAAACAAGCGCTAAATGGGAGGCAACCCATTCCTTTTTATTTTATTTTATTTTTTTAATTTTTTCTTTCCTTTTACATTTTTATTTTCCTGTTTTGTTAGTGTCTAGAAAACAAACAAACAAAAAGGTCATCACCGCCCCGAGGTAATTTTCCAACTCCCACACGTTGCAATGAGGTCATTGCCAAGTGTAGCTTGGGGGAGACTTGTGTATATCTATCTCGGTATGTTCTCTTATTTTCTTTTGCTTTGTTGGTTTGGTTTTTATTGCTTTGGTAGTACAGAAAAAAAATGAAAAATACGAGAATCATGATAATGAACGGTCAATGAACTACTTCCCCGTGCCCCTATCCTTAATGCCAAAAAGGTTTTTGATTTAATCTCGATTGAAAGACTTGCATTGTGGATTAAAAGATCATGATTTGATCTCGAATTGTTTAATCCCTACTAGGAGTCAATGTTGTTAACCATGTATGAGTTTGGAGCTTGACTGTGTTAATCGTGAGGCTTGAGCCTTATTTATTCATTCATGTGTGTTTAGTTCCTGGTGTGATGTTGATCTTAGTTTTGACTCTAGACTTTTAGTAATGTGTCATAATGCATTGCACGTGCACGATGAGAATGACGAAGGCCATGTTCATTAGGTGACCTCCAGACGAATTTAGAAACGTATGTTCCCTTCTTGCTCACCCATGTTGTAGCCTTGACCATATTTTTCATAAAAGTCACAAAATTAACCCCTTTTCCTTAATTTGGCTACTTTTCCCAAGTCTAGCTTGGGGGAGCTTATATCATGGTGTTTGTTTTATTTTGTGATGAAATTTCTAAAAAAAAAAGAGAGAGAGAAAAGAAGGAATCATAAGCATGGAGGTTTTATTCTTGAAAAGTGAAAAAAAGGAACAAAGAAAAAAAATTGATACAAAAGAAAAGGAATTTTGTTCTTGAAAAGAAAAGAAAGAAAAATTGATAGAAAAAAAGAGAAGAAAAAAAAAAGAAAGGAATTGGAAATTTGAAGAATATAAAGGTAGTAATGGATGTTCTTGATGTAATTGGGTTATGTGCTCTTGTTAATGAGAACGATGGATCGAGGATGTTTATTGATTGCATTTGATAGCTCCCCGGTTAGACTATGATCGCCTACATTCCCAAAATTTATTTTCTACCCACTTCTACCCGGCCTACATTACAAGCTTGAAAAAGTCCTTCCGATCTTTGTGCATGGTATTGTGTTCATGTGAAACGAGTCTTTTGTCAAAATGCTGGAGTATATCTCACATTTCGAGTCGACATTTGACTAGGTTGAGCGATAATATAACCCCTTAAACACGCGAGTGTTGTGAGATGGGGGGTTTGCATTATTGGTGGGGATGGTGAGAGATCGAGCTCACTTTTAGCTTGCCACATAAATAGTGTGTTGAGTGACCACCAAGGTGAGATATTCTAGTCATCGATTTTTGAGTTGTCCGTGGTTGATTTCGCTTGACGACTATTTAGGTTGATCGATGGTTTGAGTGATTTGATTGGTTGGCTAAGATGCATGCTTGTTTGATTTCGATTTTGAGTCCTTTGTTTAAAATTGCATTACGGGGTGAAGTACGTTTACTTGGTTGTTTGTTATTTTTGATTGCCTTGCTTGAGGACAAGCAAGAGGTTAGCTTGGGGGAATTTGATGTATGAGTTTCACACCATGATTTATCTCGGTTTTACAACGTATATTTGCACGGTTTTAGGCTCTTTGGAGCCATTTCTCACTAACAATCTCTTCACTAGTGTGTTCGATGTATTTTTGTCAGTTTCATAGGAATGTGGAGTTTCTTGGATGAATCGAACACGTGTTGGATATTTTTAGAAGAAGTTAGTGCATGAAGAAGAAGGTTTCCCCCATACCCTGTTGACCCTAGCTTGCGCGGTCAAACAGGGAAAAGAAGGATGAGTAGAACACGAAGTATTTGCATAAAACCCCATGTGCCCGATCAGGCATGGTCCGCCCGGCGGGACCGGGCACAGAGGAGTAGAAGTCTAGCGTTGAAACAGGAAAGTAGCAATCTATTTAGAGAAGCATAGTTGCGCGCCTGATCGGGCAGAGTCCGCCCGGTGGGACCGGGCACATGGTGGAAGAAGTGCTACGAAGAGGAAGAAGTGTCGTATATCCAAGCAGCCCGATCGGGCATAGTTCGCCTGATTGGACCGGGCACTGTTTCGCGTAATCCGTTTTACTTAATTTCGAATTTCTATCTTTTTGAGGGTATAAATACCCTTTGTAATCACAATTAGAAAACACTTTTTATGTCCATTAGCATTATTTCTCTCTAAGAACCCTAGTTTACTCTCTTTCATGCAATTTAATTCTTCCATTAGATTTGATTATTGTTCATCAACAAATTGAGTTATTTCAATTGAAGCATCATTGGTATTCATCTCCTTCTCTTCTCTTTCAATTATTATTGCTTTTTTTATTATGTTTTCTCCATTGAATTTCATTATTGATTGTGTTAGCATGTGTGAGTAGATTCATAATTCGGGATCTTGCAAAGCCTGGATATGATTAATGCTTGGATTTAATCTTTAAATTCTCCAATAATATTCACAATTGACATGCTTAATTGATTGTGTTTATGCCAATGCTAGATTAGGAATAAATAGTATTGTTATCATCCCTTTTTTCTTATTGCAACGGAAGTTGAATATTAACGGGATTTGGGTATTTCAATTAAGGGTTTGAAGTCATCATGGAAGTAGATGATTGAATGATTAGGAAGTTAAGTATTGTGTTAATGTCCATTATTTGCTTGATTCCATGGAAATAAGCTTGATAGTTGATTGGGAAGCCATTGATAACTCGGAAGAGACCTTTGGTATTTTATAGGGAATACTTTTCCTCTTATCGATTGAATTGTTATTGGGGGTAGAATTATTTATGCATTGATTATATTCGTGGTAATGCTTGATCTTGGATGCTTTAGTTGATTGATTTATCACATTTCTTAGATTTATTGAGTTCTTTATATATTAGTTCTTAGAATTATTCACCATTGATCGTTACTTGCTTAGTGATAATTTGAGCCTATTTAATTAGGTGAACCTTAGTCTCTTGGGATTCGATCCTTACTTGCCCGTCTACATAGTAGTGGTCTCGTTAGGTTATTTTTGTTAGGTACGCGACATGCCTACCAAGGACTAATTAAGAAAAAGCCAAATAAATTGGCTACTCTAAAATAGTTGTCTTGTACTAATATTTCCTGGAACATTCTCTTAATTATTTTTCCCTGCACCTTCCTTTGACCCTTCTTGTACCAACTCATCATTCTCCCTTTTTCAGAATTCTCTACTGACCCTTGCGCTGACTCACCATTCTTTGCCACCTCAGCCTGCTTACTACTCAATGCATCAGTGTGTACATTAGAAATTGGCGAAAAATAGCATATCGAAACGCAAAGGTAAGTAATATTCAGTTCATTTTTGAAAAAATTCAGTTATTAATTTGCCTTTTTCGGTTGAATATTGCTATTTTTTTGGTAATTTGAAACTGCAATAACATGCAAGGTCGAATGGAAGAAAATCCGGAAGTTACTCTAACCAATCTGACTACTACTATAATTTCAGAAGGTATATTGTACTACAATTGTATCTATGGCTTAGAAATTTATAATTAATGCTTAATGTGCTCTAAAATTTAAATATAAAGTTGAATAACATGTTTAGATATGATACTATATGCTTCTAGTGATTTAAGTTTTGTGAGAGAAGGACGATTATGTTGTTAAAGTAAGTGTACTATTTTTATGTTCTAAAAGTAGGTGTAGTATGTTATTAATTATTATACCTTTTTTTAGGGATATTAATTATTATTATACCTAGTATGGTTGTTATGTGCTAAAACTATAATCTAAAATTACAAATCATAATTTTGATTAAATTTCTAGTCACCTACAATTATGTTCTAAACAATACGGAGTATCATTTTATGTTCTAAAGTCTTTCTACGATGTTCTAAAATTATAAATATTATGTTTTTATGTTCTAAATTATATAATCTCTATATGTTTGAAATTTAGAACATATGTAGAAAATTTTAGAACATATGCAACAAATATTTAGATTTTAGAACATAGGAAAATTTAGAAGTTAAAGCATAGGAAAGAAGTTAGAACATAGGAAAATTTAGAACATAAGGAAAAATTTAGAACCTATCATTAGAACAAGCAAAAAAATATAAAACATACGTTGAAAATATTTTGAAACATAGGCAAAACTTTAGAACATAGGGAAAAAAATTAGAATATAGGGAAAAAGATTTAGAACTTAGGGAAAAAAGATTTAGAACATAGGATAAAAATTTAGAACATAGACTAAAAAATTTAGAACTAAGGGAAAAAATTTAGAACATAAGAAAAAAATTTAGAACATAGGGAAAAACTTTAGAACATAGAAAAAAGTTTAGAACATGGAAGAAAGTTAATTAGAACATAGGATAAGAATTTAGAACATAAACAGAAAAAATTTAGAACATAGAGAAAAAAAATTTAGAACAATTTTCTTTTTATAACATAGAGTAAAAAGTACAGGATATAAGAAAAAAAAAGTTAGAACATAGGTTTACAACTTATGAAAAAAAAAAAGTTAGGACATAGTTTTAGAACATATGA